ATTCACGTGATTTAGAGCTTTGATCTCCACGCGAGTCTGGGAGCAGAACGGAATCTTCTCGACTTGTGTTGGAAACGCGTGGCGCGTTGCGTTTCAGGTTACAAGTGTGCGCAACGCTACCGTCAAAGCGACGCGTCGTTCTACAAGCATCACCGCATCACCATGATGAAGGGGCGCTTGCGATCAATCGTGAATCACAATCACATTTGCGCTCAGCTGTCAAACGCTGGCCTCAATCTGCGCTCACTCGTGATATCCGCAATTTTGTACTCTTCCATTACAAACACTTTTTGCGAAACAGTCGGGGCTCAGCACCTGTCATTAGCCAAGCTTGCACCGCCCGTGTAGTAGCGGCACTACTGGCCTGCAATCCTCCTATCATCACACGTGGGTACACCCGCAGGCGTTCACCACGATGCCTGCCAAGCAAGAGGGCATGATCTTCAAGGCCACCTACAGCGGTGTGCCTGTGTACGAATGTCTGATCAAAGGCGTGAGTACTGGCTGGCTCTCTACTGCACGACGATCGAATGCATGTGCTAACACTGCGACGACTGCTTAGGTTGCTGTGATGCGACGCAGATCCGACTCGTGGATGAACGCTACACATATCCTCAAGGTTGTGGGCCTGGACAAGCCACAACGTACGCGCGTCCTGGAACGAGATGTGCAAAAGAACACGCATGAGAAGGTGCAGGGTGGATACGGCAAATATCAAGGTGCGTGCGAGCGGTCTTGAGAGGGCAGCGCTCGTGCTACATGTCGAGCAAGCTGACGACTTGATGCTGGACACTAGGTACCTGGATCCCCTTGGAGCTAGCTGTCCAGCTGGCAGACGAGTACAAGGTCGCTCATCTTCTTGACCCGATTACCGGCTATCAGCCCACCGCCGAGTCGCCTCCACCAGCACCAAAGCATGTCATTGCACCATCCAGTCGTTCCAAAAAGGCTTTGGGCGAGGCTCGCGCTGGTGCTCGGCGCGCCACGAGCCTAGAGTCGGACAGCGAGATACTGAGCGGAGGTCGTGCGCAGGGCACGGAGGGCACAATGAGCCCCAGCCCATCTCAAATCAGCAGCTCTAGTCGCACACCCAGCCCCATCGCTGGTCAATCGGCAGTGCCGACCTACTACACCTCGCAGGGCGCTGGTGCAGTCCGCAATGAAGGTGCTGGAGGTGCAGCAGCTGCAGCTGCTCATAGCATGGGCATCGATCCATATGTACGGGAGCCCAGTCCTCAGTCTCGATATGCCGAGATAATCCTGGACTATTTCATCTCGGAGACGACGACTATTCCACCCTTGCTCGTCTCTCCGCCCGCCGACTTTGATGCGAACATGTCCATCGATGACGACGAGCACACTGCGCTCCACTGGGCTTGCGCCATGGGACGGATTCGTGTAGTCAAGCTGCTTCTTTCTGCAGGAGCCGACGTGTTCAGGGTGAACGGCTCGGGTCAAACTGCCCTTATGCGAGCGGCCATGTTCAGCAACAACTACGACTTGAGAAAGTTCCCAGAACTGTTCGAGCTGCTGCACAGGTCCATTCTCAACATCGATCGCAACGATAGGACCGTCTTCCACCATGTCGTCGACTTGGCGCTTTCCCGCGGCAAGCCTCACGCTGCTCGGTACTACATGGAGACGATGGTCAATCGTCTTGCAGAGTATGGCAGCCAGCTGGCAGATATTCTAAACTTTCAAGACGACGAAGGAGAGACACCTCTGACCATGGCAGCAAGAGCGCGTTCCAAGCGTATCGTCCGATTGCTTCTTGAACACGGCTCGGACCCAAAAATCCGAAACAAGGACGGTAAGAGCGCTGAAGATTACATCGTCGAAGATGAGCGCTTCCGAGCCAGCCCGCCCCGCGGAGCAGGCTATGGAGGGCTGCTGGGTGAGGGTACTGCAACGAATGCAGCTCTGCACACCAGCGAAGCCGGTCAACGGGCTGGTGGTAGAGCAACACAGCTGATGCAATCTCTTCTGGGCAACCTGGCGGATAGTTACGATTCGGAGCTCAACAGCGTGGAGAAGAAGCTGGCTCAAGCTCACGCTCTGCTGGCCCAGATCCAGGCCGAAATTGCAGAGTCGGCCAGGCAAGAAGCTGCAAAGCAGGCAGTGGGCGGACCGGGTGGGGACGCCACGTCGGAAGCAACCGCAGATGGTGTCAAGGGTCTTGCTAATGCTGAACTGGCTCTGACTCGCGGAGTGGAGAAGCGCAGCCGAGAGCAGATGGTCAGAGAATGGGCAGAAGTGGAAGACAGCGTGAAGCGTGTGCGAACGGAGAGGAATTTACCCGATGGAGCCTTGCTTTCAACCTCGAATGGCGAAGCCAGCTCGGCGACTGTCGAGAGTCTGCTCGCTCCTGCGCCAGGAGGCGATACATCAGCAGCCATCGCCTCGCTGCGCCAAAAAGTGACAGACTTGAAGACGAAGCGATCTGAAGTGGTGAAGAAGTTTGTGGAGCATGCGAGGGAGCAAGGAGCTGGGAAACAGGCTTTGGCGTACAGGAGGCTCATCGCTGCGGGCTTCGAGGGAAACATTGGGGCGGAAGAGGTGGATCACGTGGTCAGTGCTCTGGTCGAGCTGCTCGAAGACAACAACAAGGCTGGGTCGAGTGGCGTGGGTGGAGAGGGTGCCTTGGCGCCCGATGCGAATGCTAAAACGAGCGGCGCGAACGGTAGCGCCAACGCCAATGGCAATGGAGATCAGGGAGCTGCTGCGCTACTCAAGAGTGTCCGCGCAGGATGAGAGAAAGCCAATGCTGCCTTTTCTCTTCGTCAAGTGGCCGCTGCTTCGTCAGCTCGATTCTGACGAAGACACGCTTCACCCGCTAGCAATGCCTGTTGAGAAGCCTTGACCAGTCACGCATATCGATTACGCCCCTTGCCCGATGCCCACGAACACGCTGCTCTTGTACGTCGTTTGATGCCAAATCGATGAATGTTCAGCAATGACAGGATATAGGAGGTGAATGCAGTGCAAGTAAGGAAGAGCACATTGAGATTTCACCAGTCCAATTCTGACTTTACCCGTTGTCCTCGTGAACGAGCAGCGCGCCGGGAAGGACTTGGGGCGACCAAAGAAGCCAAGAGGAGATCTTCCACCTCTGATGCATGCGTTGCGTCTGCTTCTGGCGAACCCACATCAGACGCACGTCTAGCCACCTCACTGTCCTCTCCCTTGACCCGTGCGCTCATCGTCATTGAGCCATTAACATTGCTCTGCACACCTTGCGCGCTCTCCACCTTGCCTGTTGAACCAGGGTCCTGCCTCGTCTCCTCGCGCTTGACACTATGCCTACTCTCGGTGGACTCTGGCAAGAGTTCCACTTTGATGCGCGAAGCTGCTCGTTTTGCGTCAATGTGTTGAAAGGAAGGGCACATGCCTTTGCTGCCTAGATCGCACAAGCTGCACGAAAGAAGGAGGAAAGCACGGAGCAGATTGGAGCGCGAGGATGAGCGAGCCAACGTATTTGCCGAGCACAATGAGCTGGGCAAGCAGTCTGCTGCACTCACTCGCATCTAGGACCAACAGGTACGCAAATCACTTGTCCAAAACCTACGAGCGTCTTGTTGATCGTAGTGTGAAGCTGATTGGGTAGAAAGCTCTGCAACCTCAATCTCGTCTCTTCTGGATTCTTCGTAGGACCCCATCCCAACCTCTGCGTCATTCTGTGCACGTGCGTATCCACTCCAATGCCAGCATTGGTCCCCCAGCAAGCCTGAACGGCCAAAAAGGCCATTTTGGGACCTACGCCTGGTAAAGTGCATAATTCGTCCACTGTTCGTGGAACATCGCCGTCGTGATGGAGAGAGAGGTAGTGCGCGCTGGAGAGAATGTGCTTCGTCTTTTGATTGTGGAAACCGACTTTGTTGATGAGAGAGTTGAAATGCGCAGGTTGCACCGTCAGGAGCGAGTGGAGTGTCAGGCCGTCCGGTAAGTTGGTCTGCAACGAGCGGACTGCGGCTGCAGTGACTGGATCTTTGGTCTGCGGTGGCATGGTCGTCGGACACGCAGTAAGACATCAGAAGGGCCAGGGTGCATCGATGAGCAAGTTGGAGATGAGTATGCATTGCCTCTCGAGCTTGATCATCTCACCTGAGAACTGAGCATGAGCCCAACAAGCACAGCCAACCTTTCCCTCTTTCGTTCCTTCTCCACATCTTCCTTGACTCTATCCTTGTCCCCTCTGAACTCGTCCCTTCCATTCTCCTCGCATCCCATCGTATCCACAGGAGCTCTGATTCTTGTGCGCTGAGCAGACAACACTGCTAATTGTTCTTCCCACTGCAAGGGAGCAGAAAGGATTTCGGATTGCTCGAGCGACAGCTTGATTCGTTTGATCGGTTTGCGCGGAGAGAGGGGCGTGCCGTCTGTGTGTCTCAGCTGCGACGCCTCGTCAGCCTCATTCGCACCACTCGCATCGGTCTTGATCTTGCGCTCGGTGACCTTGGTGTCTGGCACGCTTCCAGCTTTCTTGCGCTTCGGAGTTGCTAGACTCGTGGGTTTGCGCTTCTTGGGCGTGCGGTAGTCCGAGTCCGATGCGCTTCCCCTCTCCTCATGATCCAGCAGCTCCGAAGGGCTTTCGCGTGTCGACTTGCCGGCTGAGATCTTCGACGCAGATGCATTGCGCTCGGCATCACCAGCCCTACACGCCGTCTTTCGCCGCTTCGGCTTGATCTGCTCATTTTCCTCCTCCTGCCCCTTGCCAGGCACGCTCGACACTCTTCTTCGGAGTGCGTAACCCCCAGCGAGCTTCCTGGCCAAAGTGACGCTCTCCGCCAAGCCAAGTGCAGCATCTCGAGCCGCTGTGGCGCCCGATCGGATATTGGGATCCTCGATGAGTGAAGGATTGCTGAGGGATGAGGGCCGTGCTGAACTTGTGCTTGCGCCCGCACTTGGCATGAATAGATTTCGCTTGCGAGGCATTCCTTGGTAAAGCTGCGAGACCGCGGTCGAGTGAGATGTCGAGCAGATCTTGTTGAGGCTAAGGGATGGTGCGATGATGACGCTATCGTAGAGCCGAGTGGGTCTGAAGGGCCAGAGTGCAAGTGCGATGCCAGCTCTGAGCATGCGAAGAATGTCTTGGACTCACACTGCTCTCCGCGTCCGCGTCCGCGTCTTTGTTGAATTGCGAACTGCGCCGTTGCTTGAAGTTGCGCGGAGAAGTGAATTCGCGGAACGATGAAGCTGTGGAGGGTGTGGAGGGTGTCGGTCGA